CCCTTCCTCTCTGAAATCAATAAAAATATCTACCTTATGAATTTGTTCTCAGAATCAAATCGAACAAGGCCTAAATAATGTTTAGCCTAGGCCTGGGCACACAGAGCTCTGTAATAAGAGAAGGGAATAAAAAAGAAGGCGGGTGTTGTTCTGGTTCTTATCCCACTGTTTGTGAGTTTGGGCAACTGTTTGCTCCACTAGCACGCACTCCTGAAGTTCAAGGCCCACATCTCAGTTAGCACATGTCCCAGCCCCTGTGCGCGGGCACAGTGCAGTGGTGTTCTTGCGGGCTGTCTAAAGGCAGAGGGGCTGGAGAGGTGGTGTACTTAGGAAAGGCAGTTGGGGAAGGCAGCGAGGGGCAGGGGCAGGGGCAGGGCCTGAGAAGGAGCTAAGCAGAGACCCTTCTCCACGCGCCCAGCTTCAGCCGGACCCTGCAGCATGAGTCTCCCTGAAGGCAGGGCGGCTGGCCTTTCACCCCGGACAGTCAGCTAAGCTCCCCCCTGGGGGGTGAAGGACAATCTCCCAGGTCAATGGGCTCCTGAGGAGCTGAGGGCAACTCTGAGAATTGACAGCTGGGAGCTGTTAGCTGTCAGCATTGGCCTAACTGCAGCCTGCGAGGGTGCCCTGCCCTAAGGGCGGTCTGGGGGGACACGACAGCCTTCCATACAGTGCCCGATGGTTGTCGGTTACACAAAAGCCTGTGTTCTGAGGTTATGCTCTAAGCCACCCATGACACAGCTGGCTTATGGCAAAAGGGAGACAGCAGAACCAGGGTGACTAAGTCATCGCCTGTCACTCCAAAGGGAAGTTGTTCAGCTTAGAGGCTGAACCCAGGGAGGGGAGGACCTTGGTGGCGATGCTCTCCCTCTGCAGGGACGGGAAGTGGCTGCTTTCCCAGTGGCCCGTGACCATTCCTTCACCCCGAGGAGCGAGTGGCATATTCAGATGACCCAGCACTGCTGGGCACAGGGAAAATGAGGTCACAGCTCACACCTCCCTGGGTTCTGACCTCTAGTGGGAGTGGAATCAAATCCTAGCTCTGTCACTTTAGCTTGCGACCCCGAGCCAATTATTTAGCATCACTAAGCCTTGGTTTCCTCATCTGTAAAATGGGAGTAACAGTATTTCCTAATTCACAGTTGTTAGTGTGTGTGTGTGTGTGTGTGTGTGTGTGTGTGAATTAGAATTAATGCTTATAAAATACTTAATACAGCACTAGGCATGCGATTAAGGTTTAATACATGGTAGTTATTTTTTTTTAACTTTCTTTGTTGTGGTGGGGTTTTTGTTTTCTGAGAAATGGTATTGCCTCAAAAAGAGAAAGAGAGAGAGAGAGATGGTATTGTCTAGTACACTGTTTCTCAATTGTCATTTGCATATTGCTTTGGATGTTAGCCATATCTGTTACCTCACGTACTACTATTTATCTAATATACATTAATGGACTCTAAAAAAAGGACCCCAACACTATAAACTTGCAAATCGGACCAGTGCTCTCATGGTGCAGGCGAGTTGTGCCTGGCCCACGGGGAGTTAGCCGTGAGCCTGTGGACACGGCAGCCCCGACACTGCTGACGGGCAGTTGCATCCTACCTGGGAGCCTGCCTCGCTCCATTTCATTCCTTCCTGTCTGGATCCAGGCCTTGCACCCCCTCCCCCGAGTGAGGTCACCCTGCTCCTGCATGAGCTCATTGCCTGCTCCTGCTCGGCGAGGCGTTTTATGCGTCATGTCAGGGGCATTGGCTCTCTCTCCATTCAGCATCGGGCTCGGACAGACTATGAGGGAGGGTGACTGGGATGACAGGAGCGTGGGAATCCCCCATCCCTGCCTGAAACAGCCGGGACTGGAACCCGACTGGAATATGAGCTTTGTCCGGGCTGGAAACAATCTCCTTTCCCAGTGACTTTTGCACGGAAGTACTTGCCAATACGTGGTGGCAAGCCTCGCAGACAGGCTGGAGAACGCTTAGACGTCTGGGCTCCGCAGCAGAAAGAGTCATTGTTGGTAACGATGTGTCCCAGGGGAGCGGCATGTCAGGACGCAGGCGGGGGAGTGTTGGATTCACCTGACTCTCCCTGCCCCTTATCCCATTTGATTTCTTTACTGTGGCAAGAGTCTAATTGGGGAAATAGACTTGCTCTCCGTGGATTTGATTATTGTTATTGCCAGCCTGTTCGTGACAACCTTCCCGGGAACTCCGGAGCCGCCTCAGAGGAAATGAGAGAAGGAAATGCCCATGTCCTTATGCGGAGCCCAGTTCAGAGGGGCTGAGTCAGGACCCAGGTCTGTGGCTCAGACTCCACAGCAGTTTTAACCCCCTGCCTGGACCTGCGTCAGAAGGTCCGTAATTGGAATGAGGGCAGGTGTCCAGCCTGCACCCAACTCGGGAGGCACACAGCCGGGATGTGGTGTGGATGACTCCCGACACAGAAATGTTATTCTGACTATTATAGACTCTAAAAAGAAAAATAAAAAGTAGATGGGGCAGGATCTCGAGAAAGGCTTAATTCTGCTTTTAAGAATTTTTATTTGTTATCATTTTTTAGCATGTGTTCAAGGCTAAGAGGAAAAAAGGAGGGGGGCAGGCATAAAAGTGGGGAGCCATAAATACACTGTATTTTAGGCTCCAAGAAAAGTAGTCTTAGCTATTACATCTTCCTCCTTCTGACCTGAACTCTAAATAGATAGCTAAATACTTATTTGGGTTTATGACCAAACTTTGCAAGCAGAAAATTCACTAAACCAAGAAACAAGTGCTTCCACCCATCCATGCTCAAGGTCGGACACTGATGTGGAGAAGACGGCCTGTTTCAATTGCAGACAGTTTGTCCACGGGATCTTAGAAGGTGTTCTAATTGCTGAAGAATAGTCATTTATGCATCACCTGGGATCAGTCCATGCCATCAAATGCGGATATCTGTGATGAGTCCAAAGGAATCTTCAACAATCGGTTTCCATCACAGACCTGTAAACTCACCCCGAGTCACTGGTTTGTTATAGTTCTTTCCTGCCCTCTGCGATGGCTATTCACCCACATTTTTAGTTTATGACAAGCACACACTCCCAAATATCTGTCCTTACTGAGCCTCTATGTCATGCTCTGGCACGTGGGGTGCTGCCCCGTGACCTTGTGGCTTAGGTATAGATAGGCAGGTACCCTTTTCCGTGGCTGCCCACTGAATGGGTGGTGATTTCACCATCAGAGGAATCAGCCTTGGACTTGTTTTTCTTGTGTAGACAATGCTTCATGTTGGGTTACACAGAACAGCATGCAACCAGGAACAGGGCTGAGCAGTCTGGAGCTGCAAAGGAACATTTGATAAGCCAGTTGCATAACCACCAGCTCCTGTTAGAGCTTGTGCCTGAGAAGACTCTTCCTCGCTCAGCCTTCCAGAGAGCTGTGTGGCCCCAGGGCACAAGGACACTGGGCGCTGTCTCCAACAATGTGGACAGGTAGGGGCCCAGGACCACACAGAGGCTGGGAGAGGCCCAGGCCGCCCCTGCTCCACAAAGCTTCTGGCATCTCAAGAAATAAAAATGAAGAGTTGCCAAAGCAAGGGTTACCAAAAATTATGGAATGTTTTCAATGTTTACATTAAACAGAATAAGAGCTTGGATATACATAAACTACTGTTGACTGTAACAACATTGTGCTGTATACAGGATTATAGGATTTATAGGACGAATTATCTTAAAATGAGCTACAGGCAACATAATTCTGCGAATGGGACACCAGTTTCAAGTTGTCATTACTGCTTCCCCTGAAGCCTGTGATCTTTTTGAAGATGACCTTGAAAGTTTGATAAGAGGCCAAGGATCTCTCGACCCCTCACTGCCAGCCCTACTGCATGACATTAACATTAAATTTTAAAAAATTTAGATTAAAAAATGATTACGTTGTGTCTTGTGCCTCCCGCCTCCTTAGACCTGGACATAAAAGGCAATGTGAAGAAGCAGAACCATTACTTGATAGGGATCCAAAAAATTCAAAGCTTGCTCTGCGGCTTTGCCCCGCGGCTTTGCCCCAACCAGTTGTGTGGCCTTGGAGCAGTCACTTAACCTCTCTGGATTTCCCCATCTATAAAAATGTAAGTGTTGGATGATGATGGTCTTGTACATTCCTTCCAGAACTTTATGATTATACCAATTCCATGTGAATGGCCTAGGTAGGAGGGATACAGCGGTGGGGTAAAAACAGAACAAAACACAGTGTTCCACACAGATCCAGTCCTGCCTACAGGGAGTTTACATTCTATGTGGGGGTGTCATGGGATGGGAGTAGATAGTGGGGTGTGTGTGTGTGTATGTTGACAATCAGCAAACATGATAGCTGTACAATGTCACAGAGGGTGAAGGCCACGAAGAACACTCCAGATAGAGTAGTCAGGGAAGGCCTCTGTGGAGAGATGAACTCTAATGCTTCCCATCTGCTGGGATGTTGTTGAAGCAATACAACAACAAAGGAGGTGCCATAGAGGTGGGTGGAGGACTCAGTGGGCAGAAGGGCCACTGAAGGATCTGATGGATACAGGAAATGACTCTCTGGTGAGTCAAGAGGAGGAGAGGAGAAAGAAGAGAAAGGAGAGCGCAGGGAGAGTCAGAATGGGATTCCTGTAACACTGCTGAGTACCCAGGAGTGAGGCAGGTCTGGATTTGAATTTGGACTCTAAGTACTTAGCAGCTGTGTGACCAGCCTGATCCTTAGCCTTTCTTTTTTTTTTTGCAAGAGGGGATTAAGAAGCCCCGCCTTGTGAGGGAGAAATGAACTATGTTTCCAAAGACAAAGCCCAGGGTTGGGCACATCAATAAACGCCCAGCCTGAAATTAGCCTAGTGTTTGCTAATATTGATTGTGCATCAGCCAAATCCTCCTTCACCTGTATTCCTTCCTCTCACTCTCTCTCAAACCAGCCTAGGAGGCAGGCACTGCTACAGTCCCATTTTACAGAAGGGGCGTGATTGTGAGTCATCTTTATTACTTGTCCTCGGGCAACACCAGAGGGGTTAGGTGACCCAACAGCTGAACAAGAATGTCAGCACAGATAGGCTGGACTTTAGCTGGAGGTAGAGAGCAAAGAGATACCAACTTTGTCAGATACTCATTTATTTTTCCCCATCCGACATGCATGTCTTTTATTGAGGTATAATTTCCATATGACACAATCCCCAGGGCTAAAACCTTGTGGTGAATTTTGACAAGTAGTTCCAGCCACGTAATCTTCATCCAACCACCGTGATAGTGGATTTGCTTTCTCTCTCTAGTTTC